ACTCTAATGTTTTACAAACCTTCATGCAAATGTTAAAATCAGACCTTAGAAATTTAATTCACAAAATAAATTAATGTACAAAACATATTTAAACTGATGTTCTATTAGTTTTACTGTTTTGTTACTAAATTTGGTATCACATCAGGAATGACTTATAGGCTTGGGCTTGGTCCACCTGGGCCGCATTAATGCAAGGCCTTACAAAGAGTACTTTATTATAATAAAACATTACATGAATATGTATGATAGGGCTATTTAATGACATTTATGCAGAATCATCCACAACAGCATTGCGATGTTAATTATTCGACTAATTATAGCCTATTGTATCTAGATACTCATAGCGCTACCTTTATTATCTGCATCTGCATCTTCTCCTAGCCCTACGTTAAAATATGCCGTGAGCTTTGGAATTTTTTTTTCAACAAATTTGACTTTCACCTTTATTTTATTATTTTTCTCTTTCATATTTGACTGACACTTGTCGCGCGGGACTTGCAACGTCCATTCAAAGCAGACCGATAAATAGAGATGCACCGATTGCAATTTTCTTGGCCGATTCCAATTTCCGATTTTTTTGTTAGTGTGATCTGCCGATACCGATTTTTGCCGATTCTGATTTTCTTTCTAAGAACTATAATTGACAGCATATACAAACAAAAATCTATTTTTCTTCAACGCAAAGTTTTATTTTCATAAAAAACAAGTAAAAAGTCAGTGATAAAATAAGAACACAAAAAAATGTAAGTGACCAGGTGTAAACAGGCCCATGTTACAAAACATGCGTTCTCTTTCTCAACTATTTAACGTTCCAAAACTGACTGTGTTTAACTGGATACTCGCCAAGACAGAATGCGCGGCTGACATTATTGCCTGTGCTGCTGTTAGTATCATCGGAAAGAAGTGAGACTGATCGGCCGATCATGAGGAAAATCGGCCGATTCCGATCCCTGGCCGATCGATCGGTTCATCTCTACCGATAAAGTGTAATTTTAAGGGAACAGTCCCTGTAGCGTTTGGACCAATCAGACACACAACTATTTGTTATATTTTAACAAATAATCCCTAACACGCCCTCACCCAAAGCAACAAGGCAATTATGACGGTCTGTGGACCCTTCCCCCGAAATGCAAATAACATTTACAATGCAAAACAAAAAAATTAACATCAAGATCGATTGCATGGTCACTGTCAGAAAAATACAGCAATATATCTTTCAGTGAAAATTTTAAATCACATTTTATAAAAGAAGATAAATAACAACTTGAAGTAAAGTTTCTTCCTCAACTTTGCAGAATACACATAAGTTAGAGAGATCAAAAGATCGAAAAAAAGATTCGTTGGGTAAACATTATGCAAAATCTTAAAATGTACCTCTCTGATTTTATAAGAAATGCAGAATTATTCAGGGAGTAACCATGCCTTCTTCCAATGAATACTGTCAAAAAAATTGGTCCAGAAAAATTTACATCTAGGGGATGTATATACTGAATAATGTAACATTTGCTTTATATATCTACGGTTACATTTTTTATCAAGAAGACAAACTCCATCCAATAAAAGTTTGGGCATAATTGTTTTCCTCTCATTAAAGCAAAGGTATGTTTTAAATAAATGCACATAACTTGGAGACAAACATTTGATGACAGAATTGAAAGATCTAGCTGGCAGAGGAAGACTACAAAGTCATAAATTCTTCATACTCCAGTATAGTACCATCATCTTTAAATAAATCCAAAACGAAGACAATGCCTCTGTCATACCCACATACAAGAGACTTTCCACGGATTAAAATACTTTAATTATTCCAAAGAATTTCTTTGTGGGGAGAAAAGTTGTGCACATAACACAATTTCCAAGCAAGTAAAGCTTGTTGGTGAAAATTAGAGAGAGAAACCGGCAATTTAGAAGGGGTAAAATTGCATTTTAAAAGAAAATCTAGACCACCTAATCTACGAAATATAGTATTGGGGATATAGTACCAAATAGAAATATTACTACAGAGACATTTTTTTAACCAACTCATTCTAAATGAACTCCACCCTGAGAACGCCTGATGTTAAACAAAACAGATTTCCTAATTTTATGGGACTTATTCTTCCAAATAAAAATCAGTAACATTTTATTTGTATCATCAGCAATTTTGTCACTAACAAATAAAGATAAAGCCGGGTAAACACAATGGGACAACCCCTTTGCTTTAGATATAAGAACTCTGCCATAGATGGATAGATCTCGTTGAAGCCAAGAATGAAAGATTATTCTAGTTTTCTTTATTTTAGGAGAAAAATTGAGATGTTGACAACTCAATCTATCTTTAGTAAGGAAAATCCCCAGGTACTTGACACAGTCTTTAACAGGTATATGATGTATTGATGATTGTTGGGTATCACAGAGACAAAATAGTTCACACTTTGATAAATTTAAATATAATCCTGAGGCTTCAGAGAAAGATTGAATAATATAAATACTTAAAGGAATTTGACTTTGATCTTTAAGAAATAAGGTAGTATCATCAGCAAGTTGAGATATTTTAAATTCTTTACCAAATACAGAAATACCTTTCAAAGTGGGATTTTGTGAAATATTAAGTGATAATTCAACAGCCAAAAGAAAAAGAAACAGCGAAATGGGGCAACCTTGACGCACTCCTCTGTCACAATTAAAACGTTTAGTAGTTTGCAAGCTAACCAAAACTAAAGAGTTAATATCATTATAAAGCATTCTCACCAAGTTAATAAATTTATTTCCGAAACCAAAAACACTAAGAGATTTAAACAAAAAATGGTGCTCTGATTAATCAAAGGCTTTATAAAAATCCAAAAACATCATAATTGAATCTGAATCAATATTCTCTGAATAGTCAATGAGATCAAGTACAAGTCTTATATTGGAACTAATGTGTCTATTCTTCATAAACCCATTTTGTGTTTCGCCAATTATACTATTAAAGGGGTCATATGATGCGATTTCAAGTTTTCCTTTCTCTTTGGAGTGTTACAAGCTGATTGTGCATAGATAAGATCCCTGAAGTTGCAAAGACTAAAGTCTCAAAACCAAAGAGATATTCTTTATCAAAGTTAAGACTCTGCCACGCCCCCCTAAAACGGCTCATTCTAACACGCCCCCACATATCTACCCCACTATGAGATTTTAAATGAGTTGCAAATATTAAAGCAAGTAATTTATAATCAACATTTAACAATGATATTGGTCTCCAGTTTTTTTTTTTTATTAAAAGTGGATCTTTATCTGATTTGGGGATCAAAGAAATTAGTCCCTGCTTCATCTCTCCTTTGTGAATACATTCTTTAAACAAACAATATAAAGGCTGCTTTAAGAGGTCCCAAAAATGAAAATAAAATTCAACAGACAGGCCATCAGTACCTTGAGATTTTCCCCTTTTCATATAGATTTCAGTGCCTCTTCCATTTCAGTAATAGAAAGGTCAGAGTCACATAGTAATTTAAAATCCTCATTAATACCTGAAACTTTATCACAAACACTCAAAACAAAAGAATCACTTTTTTGTTGTTGAGAAAACTGAGAAGTATACAATTCTTTGTAAAAGTTGTATACAAAAGTTGAGATCATTCCAAATCTGTGCATAAATCACCATTAATCTTTAGGGCAGAGAGAGATTTTTTTTTTTACGATTTCTTTTCTCTAGTCTAGAGCAATAAAGTAATTAGTGTTTCTTTCACCCTTCTCGATCCATTTTGACATATGAAAGCCCCTTTAACAATCTCTGTGTACATATTTTCAATTTTCATTTGACAGACACTATATTCTACCTTATCTTCTTTACTGGGATTATTCTTCTGCATTAACACACCTAACCTATAAATAAATTCAAATTATTTATACTTTTTTTCTCTTTTAATTTGTTTACATCTGTTAACAGCAACGTCTCTAACTTTAAATTTGAAGAACTCCCAACTTGTAGAAAGTATTCTCCCCGAAACATGGACTTTCCCGAACACCCCCATCATTTGGACTGAAATGGACTGTGCCAAAGTTCGCTGTAGGTTTCCAGGTAGCGGAGCTGGAAAGTGAGCGGTAGAACAGCGAGAGTGGATGGGCGATGCTATGAAGGTAGAATGACGTCAAAAAGATTTGCATACGCAGGGTAATGTATATATTTATCTAAAAGCAAAATCACTCGGTTATATTATAACAGCGCGCAGGCGCTCTGAGTGGTCTACTACATCAGCACCACCGCACGTGCAGAAGCAGCCGCGTGCACGTGAACAATGCATGCACATCGGCGCACTTTCTATATCAGGGGTGCCCAAACTCGGTCCTGGAGGGCCGGTGTCCTGCAGAGTTTAGCTCCAACTTGCCTCAACACACCTGCCTTTAAGTTTCTAGTATGCCTAGTAAGAGCTTGATTAGCTGGTTCAGGTGTGTTTAATTGGGGTTGGAGCTAAACTCTTCAGGACACCGGCCCTCCAGGACCGAGTTTGGACACCCCTGTTCTATATGCTTTGTGTTTGAGTTAATTTATATAGTAATTTAGGCCGTTTGAAGTCAAGCTGCAGTGCAGTGTTACAGTGTAATAGTTTCCATTAGTTATTAATTTGTTTACTAGTTGATACATGTCAATTGTTGTGATATTTTTTACACTCATATTTGTATTTGTTTATTTTGTTACAGAACCACACAATATTTATGCACGATCAATAAATAAGATTTGGAGTAGTTACTGGACTGAGACATTGTTGTCCTGACCCGCAACTCGTAGCTGTCAGCCTATCCGAACCAGTCAGAACAAGAGAAAATTACGTTACACAACTAGAGAAAGGGTCACCTTCGATTTTACTAAACAGTTTTAGCCAGATGAGTTACATAATCATTAAAAAGAGCATCTTTCAAAAGACTATTGTTACATTTCCAGGAACCTCTTGTACTCCTTGGCTTTCTATATTGTTTAAGGTCCAAATAAATGAAAATATGATCAGTAAATGGGGCAAACTGAAGATTAACAGAAATTATGTAGCGGAACACTGGATGCACCAAAGGATCAACCTCGAATAAGGACAAACACCAGTAATGCCTTTTCTTGGGTGTTTACTGCAAGCATGAAATGGGACAGTGTTACAACAATCATCTGTTCTGGTTTCACAATCTCTCTTCAGAATGTTTCACACAGACTCATGTTACAGGTTGTTTTCTTTACAGTAACTGTAATTGAATAATTGTTCCACTCAATATAATGCTTTACACCAAAGGCACATTTTTATATAGAATTAATCTGATTTATGAACACTGAAAATTAATAAAACAAAATGAACACAATAACTCATACCTGCAAGCATGAAATGGGACAAGTGTTACAACAACAATCATCTGTTCTGGTTTCACAATCTGCAAATACATAATTTAGTTAGTACATTGCCCCATTTTTCTAATATGCAGGCGACTTACAATACCAAAGTAACAACTCAGTTTCCGTTTCTTCTCTTTAACACATATAACATGCTTTGAGTCATGAACTACATTACCCAAGATGCACCGCCGATTACTGGCGCGCATTTCACTTTGTGCAGCAAGGAATTAACAACTCGCGTCATCAAAATGTAATGAAATGAAACTCAGACTAACATTAACAAGCATCATCATACTCATGAGAATGAACACAGGACATAAACTGATATTTCAGATGTTGTACAGTTCATGAAAGTACGACACAATCGCAGGTTTAAAGCGATACAGTTTATCCAAGTATTAAACATGTACAACCTCTAATTTTACACATAACAGGGTCAACAACGGTATTACCAAAATATTTTGTTCTGATTTCATTGTAACTTCTATTTAATATGCTCTAGGAACATGTTTGAGTTGTCCATTAACAGAGACACATACCTCTCTTCAGAATGTTTCACACAGACTGAAGAAGAGCGCAGCAGCCAGTGTTGCCAACTAATTTTCAGGGGAAGTTGCTAAAGGAAGGTTGATTTGTTGATTTCCATTCTGCAATAATTTTATATATACTCCCAACCCCTCCCCCATAATGAAACGATGGATCATCCCTTACCCAGTCTTTCTGCATTTGCTTTTTCTTAACCAAAGTAACAAAGTTTGATTAATTATAACACTTTTACACCATTACAATTACATCTTTCAAAATAGCATGAGAAATAAGAAAAAGATCGATTCTAGCTTTGAGGGATCCAGATTTGTTGGACCAAGTAAAGCCACTACAACCACTGTTAAAGAAACACCAAGCATCTACAACAAAAAGATTTTCAGATAACCATAAAATAATGTAATGTTATCATATGCATTAGAGGTAGTTCTTGCAGGAAATCTATCTTGTACGTCATCTGGAGTTTCATTAAAATCTCCAGCTGTAATCAAATAAGCATTAATAAAGCGACTGTATACTAATAAGCTTTGCTCCCAATTCTTTGAACATAGATACATTGGCTCACTCACAAACGAGCTACAGGTGATGGGAGGACTGATACCAAGGCTCCGACGCAGTTTTCAAAGCACTATTGTATCACACACTGTGCCGATGCTTGAATCGATTCATCGATTGATGACGTTTGAATCTTCGAACGTCATGCAGTATCGGAAGGTCGGGACAGCTGGTTTGAAAAAATCGGCGCTTCGCATGATTCGTGTGTTTGTACCCACATTTGCCCCCACCCTCTAACCTCTTCCTCCCCTGCTGGTCCCGTTCAACTGCCAAGCTCCTTTGTCGCCACTGGTTGTATTCAGCCACCAAGATCTCAGCTAGCTCCATACAGTTCCCACAATTCAGGCTTCCAGGCCGGCTGCACCTCCGCCCTCCATCCCTTTGGCTCCACTGGGCTCTGCCTTCCCACAGGCTCAGCTGTTGTCCTCACTCACTCCAGGCTCCACCACAGGTCTTCTGTGGGCTCTCACCACCATCACCTCCGTGGGCTTTTTCATCCAGTGGTATCAGCCCTCCTTCCCACCCCTCTATCATCACCGGTTCCTTAGGTGTAGATTTCATTTACAGCTCTAGGAGGTGCCTACTGGGAAGGGGGATACACTGTCACAGTTATGTTCTGTTTCATAGACTTTTAGTTTGTATCACTTTGTTTTCCTGTGTTTTTATTCCTATTTCATGTGTTCTCACTTCTTATTTGCTTCCAGAGTTACTGATTAAGTTGCACACTTGTTTCGAGTTCTCATCTGCCTGTGTTTTTAAGCCCTCAGTTTAGTTCTGATCTTTGTTCCATGTTGTCTTTGCTTTTACGAAGCTGTTTTGTTCCTCGCCTGCCCCTAGATTTCCTTCTTTTTTAGGTTACTAAAGCTGCAAATATATCCTCTCCTTGTCTTGCCTGACCCACTGTGTCACCTGCATTTTAGGAGTCAGGCTGGTTGGAGGTTCTCGATGCTCTGGAAGATTAGAGGTGCCTCATGGGAACACATGGCACACAGTGTGTGACGTTGCCTTTGACCAGCATGATGCAGAGGTTGTGTGTAGAGAGCTGGACTGTGGGGCTCCTGTACAGGTGCTGGGAGCAGCTGCTTTTGGCAAAGGAGACGCTCAGATGATGACACAAGAGATTCAGTGCAGAGGAAATGAGTCTCAGTTTGCTCTCTGTCCAATGTCACCTTCTCACAATTGTTCTCATGATGACAATGTGAGTGTTGTATGTGCTGGTAGGTGAATACATACTGTATGAACTATAAGTAATGACATAAAATCATTGAGTAATACTGTAAATTATTTTCCTCTTTTTCTATTTTCTTGTGCCATTTTACCTTCAGAAACAGTGAGATTAGTAGGTGGTCACAGTCACTGTGCTGGTAGACTGGAGGTTTATTATAGAGGTCAGTGGGGAACAGTGTATGACGTTCACTGGGATATGACTGATGCTGCAGTGGTGTGTAGAGAGCTGGGCTGTGGAGAGGCTTTAGGTGCACTAAAGAGTGTTCATTTCGGAGAAGGATCAGGAGAAATCTGGATGTCAAGTTTACAGTGTACTGGATCAGAGTCTGCACTGATTAACTGCAGAGGGGGGATCCTTGGAGGGGCGATATATGCCAATCATACTGATGATGCTGAAGTTGTCTGCTCAGGTAAGCTCACCTAGATTTACTTCATAATTACCGTACTAATCTTTCCTCCCACATAATTCCAGGATAAATACAAATTCTCTCCACATTCAAATTTAAGGTGTTTGATTAGTGGCCTGTGTGGGGCGATGTATTTGTGACATCTTAAATAATGCGACAGAATATACAAAAAGCATCTCTCTCTCTCGGTGCATGCTGGGAGTGTTGGGGTGCGTCTGAGGGTGCTTACGGGGAGAGGACGAGTAATTTGTTTGTTTTTTCAGCCTATATGTCTACGTATATCTACCTATTTTTACGTTTTCTAATCATTTGAATGATTATTTTCTTTCAAAAATAACATTTGATTTTTTTTTGTGAGTGTTTTGGAACTTTTAAGGCGGCATTGGGATGGCGTCTACCCCCGCGGGGGTGGCGTCACCTGTGTCGCTCCGCCAGGGAGTCACTGTTGAAGATGTGCTGCTAGCAATCGGAGAAAAAGTTGGATATGAAAACATTACTTCGGCATCCAGGATGAATAAAGCAGTAGTGGTGTTTGTCGAGAAAGAAGATATAGTTAACCGGTTGGTAAGCGACGGAATTGTGGTAAGTGGCGATTTTCTTATAATTTCACCGCTTGTTACTCCAACGACTAGAGTTACGATATCGAATGTGCCTCCTTTTATTCGGAATGATGAAATTGAGAAGGCTTTAACGCGATATGGTAAATTGGCTAGTGAGATTAAGATGATTCCATTGGGGTGTAAAAATGCAGCTCTGAAACATGTTATGTCTTTTCGGCGACAGGTGTTTATGTTCTTAAATGAATCAGAGTTGGATATTTCGTTCAGAGTGTTGCATGAAGGGAAAGCGTATGTTATTTACGCGAACATTGGAAGCATGAAGTGTTTTGAGTGCGGGGACATCGGGCACAAAAGGCACGCATGTCCACATAAGGCCCAGGTTAGTGAAGTGGAAGTTAGGCCTAGTACTTCTGCTGCTGGTGAGAGTAGTAAGTCAACTTCTGAGCATGTGCAGCCTCAAGCTCCATCACAGAGAAATACGGATAGTGATGGATTGATTGAAAGTCAGACTGAGGATGTTAATGAAATGGTTGATTCTGGTAGAAATCATGATGATTCTGAAGTGGATGGTAATAGTGTAAAGAATGATGATGCAGAATGATGATGTACTGATGTCGATTTGGGAATGAGAGATGATGATACGTTCTCTGAGATATCTGACATTGGATCACAGTGTGGAAGTGTGGAAGATGTATATACATTGCAAGATATAAATGACTTTCTAGATGTAACCTTCGGTAGAAATATTGAAGTTAAAGATTTTTTTCCAGATGTAGATAAATTCATTCATACAGTGAAATTGTTGCAGAGAAATGTTAGCTATGAGGCCTTAAGTAAACAGAAAAGGTTCAGGCTGAAGAAGATGTTAACAAAACTAAGAAAGGACAAAGCAACTGTCTCACAAAACAAATCAAATGTTTAAGTCACATGGGGTAAAGATCTTGTTCTGCCTTTCTTCTCATAAAGCAGTAGTGGTGTTTGTCGAGAAAGAAGATATAGTTAACCGGTTGGTAAGCGACGGAATTGTGGTAAGTGGCGATTTTCTTATAATTTCACCGCTTGTTACTCCAACGACTAGAGTTACGATATCTAATGTGCCTCCTTTTATTTGGAATGATGAAATTGAGAAGGCTTTACCGCGATATGGTAAATTGGCTAGTGAGATTAAGATGATTCCATTGGGGTGTAAAAATGCAGCTCTGAAACATGTTATGTCTTTTCGGCGACAGGTGTTTATGTTCTTAAATGAATCCGAGTTGGATATTTCGTTCAGAGTGTTGCATGAAGGGAAAGCGTATGTTATTTACGCGAACATTGGAAGCATGAAATGTTTTGAGTGCGGGGACATCGGGCACAAAAGGCACGCATGTCCACATAAGGCCCAGGTTAGTGAAGTGGAAGTTAGGCCTAGTACTTCTGCTACTGGTGAGAGTAGTAAGTCAACTTCTGAGCATGTGCAGCCTCAAGCTCCATCACAGAGAAATACGGATAGTGATGGATTGATTGAAAGTCAGACTGAGGATGTTAATGAAATGGTTGATTCTGGTAGAAATCATGATGATTCTGAAGTGGATGGTAATAGTGTAAAGAATGATGATGCAGCTACGGTTAGTGTTGAAAGGGATTCTAATGACAATTCTGAAATGTCTAATTCTGGTGAAATGTGTACTGAGGTCGATTTGGAAATGAGAGATGATGATGATACGTTCTCTGAGATATCTGACATTGGATCACAGTGTGGAAGTGTGGAAGATGTATATACATTGCAAGATATAAATGACTTTCTAGATGTAACCTTCGGTAGAAATATTGAAGTTAAAGATTTTTTTCCAGATGTAGATAAATTCATTCATACAGTGAAATTGTTGCAGAGAAATGTTAGCTATGAGGCCTTAAGTAAACAGAAAAGGTTCAGGCTGAAGAAGATGTTAACAAAACTAAGAAAGGACAAAGCAACTGTCTCACAAAACAAATCAAATGTTTAAGTCACATGGGGTAAAGATCTTGTTCTGCCTTTCTTTTCTTTTTCTGTCCTCTCTATATTTTTTCCTTTTTATGGAGCTGTTGAGGATGGCCTCTTTAAATATAAATGGGGGTAGATATGGAAATAAATTGGCAATGGTATCAGAGTTATTTAGTATTAAAAAGATAAATGTAGCTTTTTTACAAGAAACACACACTAATTTAGACAATGAATCTGAATGGAATAGATGGTGGGAGGGAAAAAGTGTTTTAAGTCATGGGACAAATACAAGTGCTGGCATAGCCATTCT